ACCCACCCACAGCAGCAGCTGTGTGCCCCGAGCAGCCCCTGGCGTCCTAATGACAGAGCTGAGCGTGCAGGGCCCCAACAGGCTGCCTCCCATCTGCACCAGGAGTTTCCTTCCCGAGCTCTCCCAGTCTGGCAGGCCGCGCAGCGCGGGCACAGAGTGGACGCTGCCTGAGGCTGCGGCAGCGGGCCCTGCGCCTGCTGGTTGATGAGGGGGGGACGGCCCAGGCCCCTGTGGCCTGCGGAAGCGCTTCACCACGCCCACAGTGGGCACGTGGGTTCCTGATCAGACCATCTCCTGAAGCAAGGTGTTGCCTGGCCTGCGCGAGACCATTGGGTGATGCAGCTGGCCCTGTTGCTGGTGGCGAGGCCGCCAACGCTGCCTGTGTGTACCTCCCCAGGGTCCTCCACCAGCAGCCTGGCCCCAGGCCCCGAGCCGGGCCCTCCCGCTGCCCTGCACGCCCAAGCGCAGGTGAACAACAGCAACAACAAGAAGGGCACGTTCACGGATGACCTGCACAGACTGGTGGACCAGTGGGCCAGCCAGACGGCCGGGGCTCCACAGCTGAAGCCGTCACTCAACCAGCTGAAGCAGACGCAGAAGCTGCACGACATGGAGGTGACAGCTGGCTGGCCCCCGGCCTCCGGCGAGATTCGGGCTGTAAGTGGGGCGTGCCGGGGTCAAGGGGACAGGATGGCAGCCGGGCTGGGACCTCAGATTTCAGCAGAGCAGCAGCTTGCAGCCTGGCATGGGCACATCTAGGTGGGCTGCTCCGGGTCTGGTGACCTCAGGCTAGAGATGTAGGGGGCCTGCACACTGCCCTCAGGGGCACCCCTTGTTGGGCTCGGGTATCCCCGTAGCAGGTGGGCAGGACAGGGAGCTGTTGGCTGACCTTGTCGCGGGATGCGTGCTGTGTCGGGGCTGCCCGGGGAGCGCTCCCTTTTCGTCGTGTTCTGGGGGAGTTTCTGCAAGATGTGCTCTTTCTGAAATGTTTAGCAAAGTTCGCTGGGGACACTGTCTGGGCTGGAAGTTCTTTTTTGAGTGTGGGAAGGTTCTCCTATGACCTTTTATTTTGAAAAATTTCAAACACATGGGACAGTTTAACATTCTGCAGTGACCTTCCGTGTGCCTCCTGCCTGCAGGCTGTGATGGACTTTTTGCTGTTTGTTATCCCAGGCCTCCATCCCATGAGGGTAAGGTTCCGTTAATGGATTCCATTTCTTTTATAGTTTGAGTACCATGTGGAGGTTCTCTTTCTGTTAAACTCTGCTTTTCTAGCAGTTGGTACTTCTCTAAATTTATCGAAGTTTTCAATTTAATTGGCATTAAAGTTCATAACCGCTCCCCCGGTCTGCAGCGAGGCAGCTGTGCACAGTCCCTTTCTGTAGGGCAGTGATGGCGAACCTATGACACGCGAACTCATTTTTTTGGTTGATTTTTCTTTGTTAAATGGCATTTAAATATATAAAATAAATATCAAAAATATAAGTCTTTGTTTTACTATGGTTGCAAATATCAAAAAATTTCTATATGTGACACGGCACCAGAGTTAAGTTAGGGTTTTTTAAAATGCTGACACACTGACCTCAAAAGGTTCCCATCACTGCTGTAGGGTTTATGAACGACATTCGCCTTTTCAAGGAACTCTCCTTGGCTCTGATGATATTCATTATTGTATGTTTCATGAATTTCTTCCTTTTATTATTTCTTTCCTTCTATCTTTGGGTTGTCATTTTTGTTCTAGAAAGTTTCTTGAGATGTGCAGTTCATTGATTTGCAGCCTTTTTTCTCTATAGCACAGGCTTTCGGCTGCGAAAGTCCCTCTAATTATTTTTGCTGCAGCCCCAAGTAGCATTTTCTTTGACTTTCAGTTCAAAATATTTGCAATTTCCACGATGATTTTAAATACTATAGTTATTAATTTCCTTGTGATCTTTGTATTAACCATTTATTTGTTTTGTTTTGTTTTGTTTTGTTGGGGTTTTTTGCCTAATTGAACTGATGAGATCAAACTTTAGTGATTTCAGTTTGTTAGACATCGCGGGACTGGCCGTCCGACCGAGGCTGTCAGTCTTGGTCACTGCTGCGTGGAGGACGGAGGCCCGCCTCTTCCATTCCCTCAGGCGGCCAGTCCCAGCCTGAGCCGTGCTTACTTCTCTCCTGGCGCCAGCAGCACCTCCTGGCAGGCACACCTCTGTCAGTCTGACTCCTCACGTCCATTCTCCCTTATTCTGCAGCAGAGCTGAGACCCTTACCGTGGCCCCGGGCCCTGCGGAGCCCGTACCTGGACAGGCCGTCCGCTCCGCCGCTGACCCCACGCTGCTCAGCCTGGGCCCCGGCTCGCCCTCCCTCAGCTGCTAATCCTGCTGCTCAGATGGCTGAGATTCTTACTAACGGTTTTGTTTGTTTGTTTCTTTATTATTTTTTGTGATAAATCTAAATAACAGAATTTACCAATTTAATCATTTTGAGTGTGTGATTCAGTAGCATTAAGAGTATTCGGCCCTAACCGGTTTGGCTCAGTGGATAGCGCGTCGGCCTGCAGACTGAAAGGTCCCAGGTTCGAGTCCGGTCGAGGGCATGTACCTTGGTTGCTGGCACCTCCACAGTGGGAGGTGTGCAGGAGGCAGCTGATCGATGTTTCTTTCTCATCAATGTTTATAACTCTCTCTCCCTCTCCCTTCCTTTCTGTGGAAAATCAATAAAATATATTTTTAAAAAAAGAATATTCACAATGTTGTGCCGCCATCACACTGCCCACATCTAGACCATCTTCATTATCCCAGACACGAGCAGCTCATCAGAAATAGCCCTGCTCCGGCCTCTGGCTGCCCAGCCGTAACTCCCCTTCTGCATCCTGCTTCCTGCTTCCGTGCGTGCGCACAGCTGGCACCTCCTGGACGTGGAGCCACATGGCATCGTCCTTTCCATCTGGCTTCCTCCACTTCGTGTCTTCAAGGTGCATTCGTGTTTAGCATGTTTTAGAACTTCATTCCTTCCCCTAATTTTTAAAGATTGTGGTGAAATACATGTAACAGCATTTTCCATCTTAATCATTTTTAAGTGCTAGTTCATTGGCATTAAATACATTAATATTGTTGTTCAACCATCACCACCATCCCTCTCCAAAATTGGTTTATCTTGCACAACTAAAATTCTGTACCCATTGAAAATAGCTCCCTGTAGGAGCCCCGCCCCTGGCAACCTCCGTCTACCTTCTGTCTTTATGAATCTGACAACTCTAGGTCCAGTCCCCATATAAGTGGAATCATACAGTGTTTATCATTTATAACTGGCTTATTTTATCTTGCATAATGCTCTCAAGGTTCATCTATATTGTAGAATGTGTCAGAATGTCCTTCCTTTTTAAGGCTGAATAATACTCCATGTGTATATACCACATTTTGTTTATTCATTGATCCATCCATGGACACTTGGATTGCTTCTACCTTTTAGCTATTTTGAATAATGCTGCTATGAACATGTTTGAGACCCTGCTTTGAGTTCTTTGGGGCATATACCCAGCAATGGAATCACTAGATCGCATGGTAATTCTATTTTTAATTTTTTGAGGAATTGCCAAATTGTTTTTCACAGTGGTTGAACCATTTTATGTTCCCACCAACAATACACAGAGGTTCCAGTTTCTCCTCATTTTTGTCAATAGTTCCTATAGTCTTCTTTTTTAAATGGTAGCCATCCTAATGGGTATGAAGTATAGTATCTCATTGTAGCTTTAACTTGCATTTCTGTAATGATTAGTGATGTTGAAATGTTTTCATGTGCTTATTGGCCATTTCTATATCTTCTTTGGAAAAATAACAATGCAAGTCCTTTACCCATTTTAAAATAGCATTGCTTTTTTTGTTGCTGAGTTTTAGGAGTTCTGTATTCTGGAGATTAATACCTTACCAGACATATGCTTTGCAAATATTTTGTGTCATTGTGTGGGTTGCTTTTTTACTCTGTCAATAGTGTCTTGTGATGCACAAAAGTTTTTAATTTTCATGAAGACAATTTATTTTTTTCTTTTGTTGCCTCTGTCTTTGGTGTCATATCCAAGGAATCATTGCCAAATCCAATGTCATGGAGATTCCTCTGTGATTCCTTCTAGGAGTTTAATAATTTTAGTTCTTATGTTTATCCCTTTAATCCATCCTCTTGTATGTGGATATCCAGTTTCCTAGCAATAGTTGTTGAAAAGACTGTCCTTTCTCCATTGAATGGACCAGGCACCGTTGCTGAAAATCAGTTGACCATATGTGCAAAGGCAAATTCTGTATTCTCTATCCTATTCCATTGGTCTATATGTCTGTCCTTTTGCTAGTATCATACTATTTTGATTTCTGTAGCTTTATGGTAAGTTTTGAAACCAGGAAGTGTAAGTCCTCCAACTTTGTGTTTCTTTTTCAAGATTATTTTGGTTATTTGCCATCCCTCGAGAATCCTAATGGGGTGTGTGTATGCGTGTGCGTATGTGCGTGCACATGTACTTTAGGATGGTTTATTTATTTTTTTGAAAAAATGCCATTGAGACTTTAATAGTGATCGCATTGAATCTGTATATCACTTTGGGTAGTATTAAAGTATTAAAAATACTAAGTCTTTCAATCCATAAACATGGGATACTTTATTTGTGTCTTTCTTAATTTCTTTTAGCAATGTTTTTTAGTTTTCAATGTGTTACTCTTTCAACTCCTTATATTTACCCCTAAATTTTATTCTTATTTATACTATTGTGAATGTATTGTTTTCTTAATTTATTTTTTAGATTATTCATCATTCATGCATGGAAATAAAACTGATTTTGTGCCCTGAAACTTTTCTAAATTTATGAATTAGCTCTAACAATTTTTTTGGTGGATTTTTAGGGTCATCTACACATAAGATCATGTCACCTCTGCATAGAGATAATTTTACTCTTCCTTTCCAATATTGTTGCTTTTACTTATTTTTTTCTTGCCTAATTTCTCTGGCTAGACCTTTTGAATAGAAGTGGCAAAAGCAAGGATCCTTGTCTTGTTTCTAATTTTAAATCTTTTACCATTGAATATGATATTAGTTATGTGTTTTTTAGATATGCATATCTGCCTTTATCATATTGAGGAAGTGCATTCCTAGTTTCCTTTCCTGAGTGCTTTTATC